GTGGCAGGCCTGCAAGATACATAGATGACATGAACAATGCACATAAGGCTGTCAAAAACATATTGATCCTTTGAGCCGCTTTGTAATACTCAAGTTCGGGTTCATGAGATTTTATTGGGGTCGGTTCGGCCAGTAACTCTGAGCCCCGGTGATGAAACCTAACAAAGTCCCGACAGCTAGCTGTCCACAGGTCAAGTATTAGTCTGCCTCACAGCGGCTTGGCTGAGCACTCTTTCTGGTTTGTGTCATTGTGTCATTGCTATTTAGAAAAAAATAAACAAATAAAAATAAATTCGACATTGCTATATGCCCTGGTGCAAAGCTAGCTCTGTTGATCGCAGAGAGAGAGAGAAAGACAAAGGACCAAGGAACTACAGTGCAAGTGTCATGCAATGTTATCGCATGAGCTAATTGTCTAGTAACCGGTGGTGTTAGTGGACATTAAAGCGTAACTTTTAGTTCCTTGGTCCTTTATATTTTCTATAAATTGTTTTTCATTAGACCGTATTGCGATCAGTTCAGAAAGTAGCTCTGAGCTCCGCTGATGAGGCCTAACACGGTTGAAACAGCTGGCTGTCAGGAGATCGAGCCAACCATTCCACAGCATTTTCATTTCCTTCTCCACTGGAGGATAGCCGCAGAAAGGCAGCTACCCTGAACTACCGTATAAGTACAAATTTTCGTGTGGAAATAACTTTCGCTATACTCGTTAGAGGGCACGAAATAAGCTAGGGGTGAAACGGTTACCCTTTTTAAAGGTAACAAACTGGTATCTGGCTTAACGGGCGGGTTATCGGGTACCCTTTATCCGCCATTCTTTTTCCAAAAACGTTGCATTTGCTTGTGATCGTAAGCGCAACATGTCTTTTGCAGGCATTCTGATAGGAGAGAGATTTTCGGGCAACAATTGCGACAGTAGCCTTCCGGATTTCACGCCAGGAGGATATGCGAAGTCATACAAGTACACTACACCGCGACAAGCACAGTGTGCACAATCACTGCGCTACATGCTAACAGTCGAAATTGTCATAGCTACAATGGATACCGTGATATGTAGCAGGATTGAACGAGGAAAAACACACTGAAAAGTGTGCACTGAACTGTACAGCTGTACAAGCAAGCTTCTAATACTGTACCCTACAATCCTACACGACTATCGGGTACTCGTTCGTTAACGGATTAGCAGCTAAACAGACGGGTACCCGGGTTACCCGGATCACCCCTTTCACCCCTAGAAATAACTAAAGTTTGTACAAAACTTTAAAAGAATTCTGAACGTTCGGTCTGACGGACCTCGACCAAAAACGAAAATTAGTACATAACAAGCCTGCTGGTGGAGTGATATAACGAAAGATTTCGTGAACGAAAATTTGTGCTTATACAGTAGCCAGCATAACGCATAGGTGTACAATGTGTAAATGTGAGAATCATGATGGTGGCGGCACGGGGGAGTGTATGCCACTATCTTCACAACAAGTCCTGTTGCTTGTGTGTTGAACAAGGTCGGCGGGTAAGCGCATGTGCGGTGAAGTGAGTTTTGACTAACTAAGGATGATGAAGCAGCAGCAAGACGAGCAAACCAGTTAGTTGCGCACAAAGTTCAAGGTTGCGCTTTTCCCAATGCCTTGCTTTTGACTCTTCGAACTGACTCATGTCTGGAATCAAGCACACAGAAGTCTACTATCCAACCTTGAGCTCTTCGTCTATCCTGCCTGTTTAAAATCAACAACATTCGGTGCATACCATTTTTCCCCGATTATAACTCACACTCGATTATAAGCCGCACCCCCATTTTCAGGTTTGAGCAATATTGATTTGATCTATTGACTTCAGTAGTAAGTCATGCTCGATTGTAAGTCGCACCCCCTTTTTAACCCTTTAATTTTAGTGCAAAATGGTGCGACTTATACTCGGGGAAATATGGTATCTATTTTTAGCTATTTTCGGCCTAAAATTTGTTGCGGGGGAAATTTTGTTTTGCAGGGCTCAGTGTGACAGTGCATGCAGGCAGCATTAGCACAGCCTGAAATTTTAATGCAGCCGAAATATATTTTTTCCCCTGGGAGGCTGGAATTTAAACCCGCCGAAAATGTGTAGACGCACAGTGCTCCCACTCATTCCAATTTCTATACTATCACTTTTCCCCTGCATTTCTCGACAGGTTCCTTTTCTTCCTTGCTATCAAGAACATAGTACTGCTTGTGTGACAACTGCGAGCTATAATTTAGCCTGGATAGTAATCAAATGTGCTAATGGATAAGAAAGAAGAAGGACGAAATGTCACAAGTTATGACTAACTGTCCACCATCGTACCCAGTGACCTGCTCCCCTTGTCGGTGTTTTACTTCAGTGTTGTCGCGCCCACTGACTGCGTACCATCTGGTTACTTTGGTGCACATTTCCTCGTTTGTTCTTTGTCCGTGACACAACGCCAAACAACAAACAATCTCGCACAGCCTGCAAGATACGTGTTGCTCCACTTGTTGTACAGTGCGCCCGCTCACGCATGCCCTCACGAGTATGCAAGCTACCAAGAGTGTGCCACTCTGGATACCTTTCTCTGGGGACCGCCGGCGACGAAAACTGCGCACACCAACGTGATGGACGGGATGGAGCCAAACATCTGATGAAATCGTTGAATGTCAGTACCACAGCAGTCAATATTGTGCTAACTGTTGCACTTTGCGACTCACTGATAGCTTGCTTATAATTGTCCATGATGGACAGCTACGGATAACATTTCAACTGTTGGTCCCTTCTTCTTGATTTTTATCCCTGGCTCTGCAATCTGCATCCGAGTTGCTTTTCATTTACGATTACGTAATAAATGATTTCCATTACGTAATAACGACAGCATGCTTCAAGCAGGTCACCACTGACATCAGAATACTCTCAGGGCGTGTGTACTCTTTGTGCTGTGCTGTAAACAGTGTTGGCGATCGATCTTTAGCTGTCAGACTAGTTCTCTGCCGTAGATCGTCCAGTGCAGTGCAGTGCTGTACGCGCAGGAATGAGCGATCGAGTTTTCGAAAATCATGATAGAGGTTTATGTCAGGAATGGTGCTGTAGAACCGCGAAGGAAACAGAAGCACGTGCCCCTGTCTGGACGATCTCGGGCAATGACGTGCTTTTGTACACTTGCGCCCCTACCAACGCGGCTAAGGAGTGGTGAGGCAATACAATCATGTCTATCAACGATGTGCTCGTCAGGGCCTCTTCTCGCGCGCCCCGACTTCCAAAAACGTTCAAATAATGTACATTCAAAAACGGATCAAACAGTTCATGAAGCTTACCCGCACGCCCAGCTGCTTGCATCGCCATGTTAGCAGATCTCCGTCCCAACTGTGTTACACATTAGGCACCAGTTCCTAAAGGCCAACGCCTTGCATTCACGGAGTGGCAGAGACAGTCTTCAAAACTCCCACCCTCAAACTACCTAGCTCGCCCGAGGCTGAGCTTCGCTCTGGAGTCTGACTCTGGGAGAGGAAGTTTTGGATTTGGTGCCAAATCAGCACAGCTTCCCTCTGAGCATCCCTCCGTGACTAGCATGCGTGCTGTTCAGGGACATCGTAGACCTCCCTACGTAACGGGAAGCACTTTGCGTCCATAACGGGATCTGGGCTCACCGTTTTGTACGCCGCTCAAACTCAAAGACCATGAATAGCACTACAGCTGTATAATTATGTTATAATAGTGCACTCTACTGTGCAGACCTCCCATCCATATCCCATGCACGGCCCATGCCCAGCACAGTGCAGAGGCCACAGCCAAGTCTAGTTCCCCCGATGGGAGTCGCTGCTTTCAAACAAATATTCAGCAGGTTCTGGGAAATAACCATTTTCAAACCATTCCGGATCTGCACCAGGCCGGGAGTAGTCATAATACCAGTACTTGACGATACTGATACGTGTCCACATGACGGTGACAGCGTGAACAAGGCGAGGACACACTGTATCGGAAGCAGTGCTTCTGACTACAACCATAAACCGGGTGGTAGAGTCTCGGTCTTGCGACCATTTGAACCGTATGGGGCAATGCCCCGCCTTGTTCACGCTGTCACCGTGAAAACATTAATTTTTACCTACTAGGCAAGGCTTGCATTATACTACAAATTGTAACTTTATAGTCCTACTTGTCGACATGTAGGTTTAGTGTGGACAATAGCAGGTTTCTTGATGTCATGACTCACGTGACGTTTTCCTCGACTCCGACTCCGAGTCCCAGATTCTACAGCCCTGACCTGCGCCAATTTCGGCAATGAGCCCCTTTTAGGGTTCGCAGCAGAGTCTTTCCTGCTGAAAGCTTTCCTTGGCGTACATAAGGCCAATTTTTGGTATCCGACGTACCTCGCAGCTCGCTTATTGTTTTCGTCAGCTCAGATGGAGATCTCGAGAGCTTAGCAGTGAGCATCTGTCACGTGGCCGTCGTGCAGACGTCTGCATGCTGTCTCCCTGGATCATACCTGTCACACTCCACCGGCAGGAAAGCACGACGCGAACGCGCTCTACCTACCGACTTGAAATCTCACTTTACTGACTCACGACTGCCATCCAGAGCACACGAGAAGTCCATCAAACCTTCCACTCGGCCAACCTGCAAAAAACACCACTTCCTAATACACAGTGTTTCTGGGGAACTCACCTCTCGTCGCTTGAGCTTGAGTAGGCTACTAGAAATGAAATGTGTGCTGCGAGAGCTCTCATTACTAGGAATAGTTATTTACAGTGGTGCTCCGCTTCCAAAGCGACAAATACCTTGCGAACTCCAGACAGCAGCGTGAGTCAGTGTCGCCCTTTGAGGTGCAGAACAAACGCTAGCGCTGTGGACCGTTGGCTATTATAAAACGTTTTTGCTTGCATACCATCTAATTTTTGCTTCCAAACCATCTAATTCGCTGGTCCGCGCTGGGGACAACAATGTGAAGAAAAGGTTGCTAAGACTTCGGCTAAACTATTGGAATTTTTGTGCTGCTCCCTACGTACGTGGGAGCTCGCGCTTTT